TGCCCGCCTTGCCTTTATTTTTTAACGTTTTAGTTTTCTCCTGTAAGTATTGTAGCACGCACGCAACATTGGCTTCCCTGTCAGGATTACCTCGCACGTACCTTCGCGCAGCCTCGAGGTCGTGTATCTCGTGATGCGTAGCAACAGGACTGCTAGCCTTAAGTGGCACAAGATCTCCCAGCTTGTATTTCAGGTCCAACCGGGGAAAACTGCTCCCCTTGTACTTGGCACTGACATTGCGCGCCATCACCAGAAAACCGTGTTGCACTAGCGCATCGTACATGGCTTCCCTGGTCATGGTTGTTGGATGATCCACCGGCAGCGATAGGTACCTTGTCATTCCCTTTGTAAAAAGCGACTTCTGCTTTGCAAGGCAGTCCTTGACGATGACATCTCGTACATTTGCCAGTTTCTTCTGCAGGTCATCTCTCTCCTGTTGGCTTGTGGTCTCCACTGGTATCTGAAGTGTTTCAGCATTAGTGTTCGTTTCGTCTGAACGGCATCGAGGAGATAGCCCGCAGGCCTTTCTCATCATGTCCTCTGTGAGCGGTTTGGCGGCATAGTCTTCAATCAGCTGTCTACATTCTTGTCTGGAATGCTGCGCCTCAAAAGCATGTTGCAGCAGGAGTGCTGCTGCTATACACGGGCCACTTTTGAGGAAATCCTTGAGCTCGTCGTTCTTGGCGAAGTAGCCGTCCATGTTAGCATCCGGATAACAACTCGCAATAATCTGCGAATCGATGAAGCGAGCCTTAGGCTCCCAGACGAAACCGTAAGGCGGAGGTGAAGTTCGCTTCGGTCACGCCGCTCAGGGTGAACATGCTGTTGACCTCGTAACGCAACCAACAAACCAGCTCTATCATTCTGGTTGTCATGCCGTAGGGAGGACGACCCGCTACGCCATCCGCCGAACAAGCTTTCTTGAAGAGATCTTCTCGCATCTTGCGTCCAGTCTCCGGCTTTTCCTGAGCCGTCAGGATGAAGCACCCTGCACATTGGGACACTTGCTTTCGCGTCTCTTCCTCGTTGTACCAAATATTCGGATCAATGAAACGATGGTTCGGTCCGTACACAGCATCGAGGTGCGCGCTGTATAGAGACTGCCCGACTCCTGCCAAATGCACAAATGAAAGTCACACGCCCTTCATCATCTTTACTTCTTATACTTCAAATTATATGTTCTTGTCCAAACAAGACATCCGTATGCGCGAGGTCCTCCTGGGCTCACGCCAATGAAGCAACATACGACATTCTCTCTGCGCCTGGCCAGAGCTATAGCAGCTTGGTTGCATAGGAAGACCTGGATTTGCCCAAAGAGACATAGGTAGAAGTACGCTGAGGATGCCCATTAGACGCAAGCCTACAGCAAGAAGGATAATTCTGTTTGCCAAGTCACATCATTGTTCAGCCAGAATGTCTCAGAGTAGAACTTGATCAGGGCGTTCTGCGCAGCAGCAAGAGCCGGATCGCCCAATTCGTGACTTCGAAGCGGGTGAGGGATGTGAACGTAGATGTTATCCTCTGGAACACCTTTGGCTGCCGTAACGTGTTGACCAGGCCTCACATCGTACAGAAAAGCACAATCAGTGTACGAAATGCCGGCTGCGAATGTCTGCGGGCTGTCGCACCACTCCACCACAAGGTTGAAGATTCTGTCTCGCAAGAGTTCGTTTTGCATGGTGTAACCAGCCTTGGTCAGGGCGTCGGCAAGGCCTGCCGGCAAGGCCTGCGCAACGTCCGTCCGAAGCTGGGCCTGGCGCTGCCTCCTCGCCCTCCATTTCTGCGTCCGCCCTGTTGTGTACTCTGCGACCTTTGCCTGGCCCTGGAATGTGGCCAGACGCTGCATCTTCGCAGGCCAGTAGGAGCTCTCTGGCTGAGTGGTTGTGGCTCTGCAGTAGCCCACGGACGCTTTCCAGAACGTCGTCATCAGTGGACAGACGAGCAGCGCCCATAAGTCTAAAAAGACCTTCGAGCTGCATAAAAAATCTTTTGCAGCGAGCAAGTGTGGCCTGCGGGGGAACTCCTTTGCGCAGAGCAAAAGCTCCAAGGTTGAAAAAATACAGATTGCCATCATGGCAACGCATATGTCTTTCTCCTTCGATAATCCACAACAGCATCACCAATTCTCTCAAATGCAGATCGGTTAACCGCAATCTGTTGACAATGACAGCCCCCGTGACAAGCCTCATCAAAGCCTCGTCCAGGCGCGGAAACTTACGCGCAATGATGGCCCGGACACGAGATATTCTGTCGGGAATGCTAGGTTCGTCCTCGCAGGCCAGCTGCGGGACATCTGCCAGACGATGTTCAGCCACTTCAAAGAGATCACCGAAGAATTTTTGGAAATCGTGCATGGTGGTGTCTGCCCCAGGCAGAAGCCGCCTTTTCCTGGCTCGCTCCAACCTGATGTTCTGCTCATCACAGACTAGATCCATAGCATCTTCCAAGTCCTGACTGATTCCGCTGTTTGCCTCAACGTCGATATCTGCTTGAAACGTGTCTTCCCTGGCCACAAGGCTTTGCGGCGGCTCTACCTCGCCTGGAAGCCCTCCGACCGGAGGCAGGGCGTCTGAGGCCGCAGAATCCTGGCTTGCGCCGCCCAGGAAGTCCTCCAGCACACAGCCTTCGCAACGAGGGCAGAGGTGCGGTAGTCGTGCGCTCTGCGCAAACCCAGCATTGACACCAGGGACAGGCAGCCCAGCGGTGCTCCAGGGGTCGTTGTCGAAGTCGGCACACGCAACACCTAGCAGGGGTTCCAATGTCTGGGTGATAGTGAGTTGTTAGACAAATTCATACGCCCTTATTATTCATGCCCGCGCCTCACATGAGTTGCCCAGTTGATAGGCGAGACCAGTGGCTGAAAATTTGCTCGCTCTCTTTCTAGAGGATTCGTAATAACCCAAGTAAACATATTGGAATAGCTTGGGGCTGCGTCGGGTGTTTCCACGTCTAGTACAGCTTGCACCGCAGGCTGATCGTTGAGAGCGAGGTGAATATGCCTGCTAGTCCAGCTCAGTAGGAAAACATTCCTGTGGCCAGACGCCCGCTGATCCCTAGCCAGACCTCACAGAGGCCATAAGGGTCCTTGATCCAGATGTAGGACCTAATCCCGCTTCTGCCGGCGTCCAGTGCGCCGATGTAGATGGACCTGGTGGCCCTGGGCAGCTTCAGCCCAAATCTCACCGCGCCCAGAAGCGGATGCGTTGAAACCCAGCCTTGTACGTCGTTTCCAGGTAGTCTTAATTGTTGCGCCAGCCAGTTGACCAGCACCCTGTCTGCCATTGCGTTGAGGCATGGGATTTGGCAAAGGTCGAGAGTTCGGGCGGCGGCTTCCTCAAAAAGGGACACCGCGTTGCGGAGGGCCACAGGGTTGTCCGCCAGCTCTCCCACGCACAATGAAACATGAGCGCCCCACCAGTATTTCTTGGTCAAGATGATGTTACGAAGTTCGCGATTGCACTTTGCAAGAGTGCGCAAATCGCCGTACTCGTCAAAAAAGCGTGGAAGCAGCCACATGAGATCACCGTGGAGTGTCACGGCACACGCTCCACCCAGCACGTCAAGTGATATGTGTTCAGCTCGAACCTGCAAATGGCTTTGTGCTCTTTCATACCAATCACACCTGGAATCCCAGAAACCAGCTTCNNCATTGACGCTTTGAAGAGACCCTGTGCTCGAAAGGTTCCGACTCTTATGACTGCCGCGCCAGACACGGAGCGTCTCTTCAGTCTCACGCTCCAGTCGCGGAACCCTGTCGATGAAGGCGAAAGGATCATGTTCGGGATGGCAACATACCACGAACATGCAAGAAACCTTCATGTTGTAATATTTTCCAAAAGATGTCTGTAAACATTGAGCTGTAGTCTGTAGTGGACACCTGTACAGTCGGCCATATGGGACAGCGGTGGACGCATACACTGCGGTGAGCTGTATTTGCTCTGGAGCCCTGATGCGCGCTTCCAGTCGACCAGCATCAGACTTCCGTCCGCCAGACGAGCGCAGAAGTCGATGGAGCCAGCAAGCTGTTCTTCCTCGCCGTACACGGTCCATTCGATGTAGTGCATGTATGTGCCGTAGTGAGCTGCCTCCTGCCCTGCAGCTGCCCACATAGCCTTAATCTCTTCCCTGGACAATGTCAATTGCAACAGCTCATCCTCGATGTCGTGATTTCTGGCAAGTTCCTGCAAGAGACCACTGATGCGCGCATCATTTCTCGGGCTTCCAGCGTACAGATCCAGCAAAACTGGACACAGCGCAGAGAGGCGGCTCATGTTAGTGAACGAAACCTCGTGTTTCAAGTGTCCAGCTCGAGGCCAGCGCGCGCCGTTCATCACGTTTGTGATGACGCTATCAGCCTCGAACGGTGTGCAGAAGGTATGGATCACCCCTGTGACAGAGCCCTTCGTTTGCACGCCACCAATGTAGTAGGTGTGGTCAGAGGCCTGAAAGCGAATCCTGGAATCCCTGGGGTGTGCTCGCAGCAGCTTGAGCACGTCAACATCAGGCGCAGCGCCTGCGTCGAAACTATCCGGCGAGCACGGGAAGGTAAAAGTGGTAGGCCGACGCAGCATGGGTAAGAGGCCGTTGTTGGGTGAAGCCAATCGCGCTGCCTTGCGTCTGCAGGCATCCAACCAAGAAGACTGAAGACGCTTTCTCTGCGCAAAGTTGATGGAGTCGGAGCCGCCAAACGCATCAGTAGATGCAGCTGCAGGAGGCGATGATGCAGATGTGTCTCGCGTATCCTGAGCTGCTCTCTCTCTTTCCATGTGCGCAAGGAGAAGTTGTAGACGCACAACTGCCAAGGAGACATCCCAACGCCACTGCCGGCGATCGCTGCTGGCAATCTCCTCCGGGTGCGGGATGTTGGATAATAAAGATTTGTTGTCCTGCGCCAGCTTCTTTGCCTCTGCGTGCATGTACTGGAAGAGCAGAGCGTATCGTTTTTCTTCGAACATGTCCAGAAAAACGCGTGACCTGCGTAGAAGCTTTTCCCACCTACGTTTAGACATAGCCGCGCGTTCCCGTGGATCTGGGAGCAGATCAACCAAATGCGGCAGGTCTGCTAAGCTCTCAGGGTGAGACAGTAGGATGCCTCGCACCGTCTGATGCCACTTATCCTGCTCACCGTCAGTATGTCCGGCTTGGAGCTCCAGCCAAAAGTCCTTTGCCGATATATGCGTCTGTGGTATCTCGCGCTGATCAGAAGCGCCTCCCCTGAAATCACAGGTGGGATCCACAATGGAATCCACGGCTGCAATGCATCCCATCATGTCGTGGACGATGAAGAGTAGAAACAAAACAGCTGGCCGCCCGTTGTCTGCAGCCGGGAAATAGAGGTACTCCATGTGCCTCTGCAAAGCAGCGACGTAACGTCGCGTATGCACTCTTCGTCATCCCTGCCATAGTTCATCATAAACCATGCCTGGAGAAGATCATCTGTGGAAGGACTGCTCCAAGCAAGATAGTCTGCCAGCGACACGCTCTCTGCATCGTTCGGCAGTCCAACTGTGGCCTTCAGAAAATCGACGGTGAACTTCGTATGCTGCGCTGTCATGAAGCACACACCTGCAGTGGTAGTTCCAAAGAGGCCAGGGTACAGGGCGTCTACATCTTTAAGACGGTCTATGACACTGCCGACGCCGAACCAGGCGTTCCGAGCAGCCAGAAGTGCGCTTGAAGTTATACCATTGAGGATTTTCCGACCGCTTGTTAACGATTTTTGCTGCGCCGTCTTCTGCGCTGTTTCCGATGTCTTCACATCGCGAATGCTGCGCAGCCAGTCTTTCAGTGTGTTTCTG